GGGGGGGGAGGGGAGGGAAGGCAGAGGCAGTTCCTGTCTCTCTCACACCTGCCAGCAGGGCTCTGAATGACAACCCCGCCCAGCCAGAGGAATGCACATGGCGCTATCCCTGTAGTTTATCATGAAGCCACTGTTTTCCAGAAACTTCCTCTGTGTGTGTGCACACGTGTGCATGTGTGCGCACGCGTGTGTGTTTGTGTGCATGTGTGTGCGTGTGTGCGTGTGTGTGTGCGCGTTGCATTAAACAAACGACAGAGGTTGGGGGGTGCCTCGGTCTCGTGCGGCGGCCTTGATACCTTGGTGAGGGTAGGCGGCCTTTTCCTGGGTAAATCTACCATTTCCAGGGGTCTGTACAACACTGAGCCAAGCGTGGGGACCCCCCGCCAACCCCCCCACACACACTCTGCATGCTTTGTGGGTCCCGCAGGAACCAGAAAACCCACAGAAGGAAAAATCACAGAACCGGCGAGACCCTGAGCTGCGAGGAACCCCGCTGCCTCCCGTTGGTGCCCTGAGGGTCACGGCGGGGCCATTCCCGCACGCAGCCTGCGCACCCTCAACGCTCCCTGCTTGAGGAGAGGACGTTGGGGTGCACGTGCAAGCCTGGGACGGACACCCCATCACCTGGGCATAAACCGAGGTTCACTCACATGCATCAAGCCTCTCACTCTGCAGCTGGGGTCTAGTTTACACTTATTTTTATTTTTCTTTAAATCCTCCCCCGAGGATATTTTCCCGTTGATGTTTAGAACGAGTGGAAGGGAGAGGGAAACACAGAGAGAAACATCGACGTGAGAGAAACACATCGACGGGCTGCCTCCTGCACGCGCTCCGCCAGGGCCCAGGCCGAAGAGGAGCCTGCAACCCAGGTACATGCCCTTGACCGGAATCGAACCCGGGACCACTCAGTCCGCAGGCCGACCCTCAACCACTGAGCTGCACCAGCCGGGGCTCGTTTTCATTTTCAAAAAGGCAAACAGACTTGCCCTGGCCGGGCGGCTCCATTGGTGGGAGTGTTGTTCCCCTCGCCAAAAGGTGCGGGTTCGATCCCCGGTCAGGGCGCATGCAGGAGGCAGCCGATCTCTCTCTCTCTCTCTCTCTCTCTCCCTTCCTCTCTTTCAAAAATCAATAAAAGCATATCCTCGGCCCTGACCGGTGTGGCTCAGTGGATAGAGCGTCGGCCTGCGGACTGAAGGGTCCCGGGTTCGATTCCGGCCAAGGGCATGTACCTTGGTTGCAGGCACATCCCTAGTGGGGAGTGTGCAGGAGGCAGCTGATCCATGTTTCTCTCTCATCAATGTTTCTGACTCTCTATCCCTCTCCCTTCCTCTCTGTAAAAAATCAATAAAATATATATTTTTTAAAAAGGCAAACAGAGCTTACTTCCTCAAAAAGGACAAAATAACTTAGTTAGGGGCATAACGGGGACTCGTTTTAGAAGAAACCTAAAAGCACAGGCCGCAGAGGCGTCCGGGCAGGTGCTCACAGGGGTCTACTCACTTCAGGGCCGACGATCACCAGGTACGCACTGGGCTCCTCTCGGTGCCATTCTGGGGAGAAAAGGGCGGGAAAGACACGTTAAAAATGGCTACAAGTCCCAGCAGAACACACGAGCTTCATACAGGAACCATTTCATCTTCTGGCTTCATTCCCCGCAGCCCGTCTAAGTGAGATGGATGTAAGAGGTGAACATGCTGGCATCGCTTGCTTTTAGGTAAATGTTATTGTCCTGGAACATGACGCCTTAGCCAGACACCTAACGCGTTAGGTAACCAGAAGTCACATGCCACCAACCTCAGAACACAGGTTATCGTGAGCAGCAAAGCTCCCAGCCCATCGCACCAGCGCCCTGCCTGGAGCACTCCCCTAACATTAGTTTAGCCTCGTAACTCTCGGCTGTTTCTTTTAATATATATTTTTATATGGATTTCAGAGAGGAAGGGAGAGAGAGATAGGAATATCAAAGATGAGAGAGAATCATGGATCGGCTGCCTCCCGCACACCCCACACTGGGGATGGAGCCCGCAACCCGGGCCTGTGCCCTGACCGGGAATCGAACCCTGACCTCCGGGTTCATAGGTCGACACAACCCCTGAGCCGGGCGGCCGTGCTCCGCTCTCTCCCATGCTTCCTCAGGAGCCCGGGGCAGAGAACGTGGAAAGAAACAAGGACAGTTCCCACAAGCGCGATTGTTCTTCTGGTTTTTCCACAGGAACGACCGGAAGCGGTTTTGCTGACCGTGCAGAGAACGAGCCGGGAAGACCCAAAACCCCACAGGAATTCGCACGCGGGCCCCTCGGCCGACGTACCCGAGAAGGCGTCCACCAGGTAGAGGGGGTCTTTGACCGGCCGGAGTCCGCATATCAGGAGGAACACGTGTAAGTTGTCAGCACTTTGGGGAAGGTCTGCAAGACAAGGGTTCGGGGAACCTGTGGCCGCGTGGGAAGCTCACGGGGACCTGACATGTGGCAAACGCTGGCTCTGAGGGCGGCGGGGGGCGGTGGCGGGAAAGTCGGGGGACAGGGGATGGGGGTGGGCAGTTGGGGCGACAGACAACCACATGGATGAGAGCAGACACCTGATCCTAAAACCCAGAGACGCCGATTCCTCTGGAACATCTCACCCTAAAGCCATCCTCCGACCCAGCCAACGACCGCAGTCACGCCCCCTCCCTGCGCCCGTATACTCTGCAGATGTTTACAATATTCACTTACAGCCCGGCCGGCCGGCCGGTGTGGCTCAGTGGTTGAGCGTCGACCTATGAACCTGGAGGTCAGGGTTCGATTCCCGGGCAGGGCACAGGCCTGGGTTGTGGGCTCCATCCCCAGTGGGGGGCGTGCAGGAGGCAGCCGGTCCATGACTCTCTCTCCTCATGGATGTTTCTCTCTCTCCCTCTCCGTTCCCCTCTGACATCAATATGTATAGTTCAGAAGGGCGGCCGGCAGGTCCCGGGAAGGTCTCCTGAGAGTGTTTTAAATCTCTGGCTGCCCCATCAGTCACTCGGGCCCGAGAGAGGCCGGCCCTGGATGACAGACCCCGAGATGGATCCCAGCCCGAGGCCCCGCGCGGTGACGCTCGGAAGATGGAGTGAGCGGGCGAGATGGATGGGGGCACCTGGGAAGTTATTTCTCATCAAACGCCGCACGGTTTTTCTTTTCAAAGGAGCCGGACGCTGACACAGGTGCTTGCCCAAGGCCTGGGGTGAACACAGGCCGGGGTGCCCTCGGTTTTTGGAGCAGAAACAGGCTGGGATGACCTCCTATCTGCTGTTGGATTTTGCATTTTCCGTCTCTTCTCTGAGGTTCAAGGCCGGACTGCAATTCCCA